TTCTATGGAATAACAGTAGGTCCAACAGAACATAGGAAATGTTTATATGCTGATGATGTAATTCTACTCATGACAAAATTAAATAAAACTATTCTGGCTTTGTTACAACTTTTTAAAACATTTGGCGACATTTCAGGATATAGAGTGAATAATACTAAATCTTCTATATTATTACTAAATGCAAATGAAAGAAGGATCCAATCCCTGAGGTAATTCAATTTAATGTTGTAGATCAGTTTAAATATTTGGGGGTACAGATTATGCCAAGCCTAGAACTTGTGGTTAACGCTAATTATGAACCTTTAATGTCAGAAATTAATGAGTCAATTGAGAGGTGGATGCCATTACCAGTATCTATAATTGGGAGAGTTAATATTTTAAAAATGAATATACTGCCAAAATTACTCTATTTATTCCAGAATATTCCTCTACCACCACCTTCAGATTTCTTTTCAAGAATTAAGAAAACATTCACAGGATTCATATGGAACAACAGGAGGGCAAGACTCCGTCTGTCTTTATTATATTTACCATTTGATCGAGGGGGTTTGAAATGTCCTAATATGTTGTGGTATTATTGGGCTGCGCAGCTGAGATCTATAATGTTTTATTTTTCAATAAACAATTCTCCTCATTGGACTGAGATGGAGGCTCGTGGTTTGAAATTGCCTCTTTCCTCTTACATGTATTCAGACACGGTAAAGAAACCACATAAACAAACTAAAAATCCAATTGTAAGACACATGATCAAGATATGGTATGAGGTTAAAAAATATTCACAAGAACTGGGAACATTATCACAGTTTAGTCCAATATGGGGCAATCAGTTTTTTTGTACCAGGGAGAGCAGATGCAACATTTAAAGTATGGGAATCTAAGGGACTTAAAATGATTCAAGATCTTTATATACAAGACTCAGACACTATGATGTCTTTTGAAGAGCTGAGATCTAATTTTAACCTTAATAACAAACATTTCTTTAAGTATCTTCAGCTTAGAAATTTTGGAAAAAAGCATGATAAAGGACAAGTTGAGAAAAGGTATCATATCAGAACTTTACAATCTGTTGTCATCTTACTCACCTGAAAACTCACAGTCTAAATTAAAAGCCTGGAAGGAAAATTTGCAACTTGAAATTTCAGAGGAAGATTGGGAAGCAGCTTGCACTGGCGCTCATATCAAATCTATAAATACACGTCTGAAATTAATACAGTATAAATGGTTAATGCGGACTTATTTGGCACCAGTGGACTTTGACCCAAATACACCGGACATATGTACAAAATGTACAGAAAACAGAGGGACTTTGTTCCATTGTATTTGGCAATGTACAAAGGTTAACATGTTCTGGGAAGAGGTAAGAGTTGTGATAGAGAAGGTAATTTCAAAACAGATTTTACTGGATCCTAAACTTTTTCTCATGGGCTTATATCCAAATAAACATAATTACAGTAAATATGAATGAGCATTTATAGATCTCAGCTTGCTCAATGCAAAAAAATGTATTGCATTATTATAGAAAGGGATTTATAGACCAAGTATTACTCAGTGGACAAGACAGATGTTATCAAGTCTCCCATTAGAGAGAATAATTTACATATTAAAGGCCAAACAGCATGTGTTTGAATTTATATGGGGACCCTTCATAGATTATGTAAAGGATTTAGATTTAACAGATGATGTGAGTGAGTAGGTTCCATGGACGATGCAGTTTTCAAGTTTATAATTTCTTTTCAAATCATTGTTTTGCTTTTTTTTTTATTTTTTTCCCTAGACATCTGGATTTCACATATATCACAATGAATATACTCCATTTTATGAATACTATTTTGAGACATGCCATTTGGAGATTTTTACTGGCTTGAACAGGAGCATGACTGTTTTTTTGTGTTTAAGTATGTTTTTTTTGTTGTTGCTGTTTTGTGATAATGCAGCAGGCCTTTATGTTTGCAAACATTGTATGAATGAAAAGAGGCTGTATCTTATAATGCTGAAAAATGAATAAAAATATTGTGGCAAAAAATTTAATTTGATGTTAAGAGCCGATTTTGACCATAATGGAAAGAGTATGTGTCTATCGCGCGAAACATGCTAAAGTATATAATCTCACAAATTAAAGTTTCATTAAAAGTTCATTAAGTTTCCTCCGAAAAAAACTATTGTCTAGACTAAGAGGCCCGCCCCACTTCGGACACTCCCCCTTAAGGGTGGGATAAAACAAGTGAGCTCGGTGCAGCTCGCTCTTTTATTTTTTTTGACTCTTTCACTCTTTTCTGTCACTTCTCTTACTCTTTTTTACTTTCTTCTTTCTTTTTTTCTTTTTGAACCCGTTACGCTCTTAAACTTGGTTCCCACATAACTCTTTCTTGCTCACGATATTTTAAACTTTTAAGTTTTACTTATCCAGTTTTTCTTTTGTTTCCAGTGCCTTTAGTAACCTGACGTGACAAAGCCAGCCGATTGCAACATTTCTTCTACGCGTTGATAATAACTTCGATATTATCGAACAGCCGACGAGATTGTTTTCAACTTTATTATAAGCGAGCTGCCAACCACTTCTTACAGTGGTTCTTTTGCCAAACCCAGAGACTTTCTGCAGCTTAAGAGAACAACGTTCGAGGGCCACCTGAAGGACGTCACAGTCAGGGTCAACCGCTCACTCCACCACTGTGTTCCAGCGGGTTTAATTCTGCTGGGAAGTCCAGGAGCGGCAAGGCAACAGTTCGGGGGTCCTCAGGAGAATCAGGAGAATGATCCAGTGATCCAGAAAGTAGGCAAAGAATTTCCCTCACCTGAGCCGCTGTGCAGTGATAAGAGTGAAGTCGAATAGGAGATTTAATTTAGGTTTAGGTTTCCTTAGGTAAATGGTTTTGCGCATCCCTGCATTCCCAATTTATCTATAGTCACATACTCTCTCACTATCGCCAAACTAAATAACTTACACAAGTGTTACTTCTTGTTTTAATCCATTTATACATACTGTTGATTTTGTGTTATTTTATATCATCCTCATTCATTTACTCAGTTGTTACACATTTAGCCTAAATAAATCTTCATTTATCGCCATGTCGTTATCTGTGTATATCTCTTTTGAGCAGGAACTAAGATCACTGTATAGAGAATTCATAACCCAGATATTGAGATTGATTCATTATTGATGAGTGTGCTGACGAATTAATAATTGGTTTAGGGAGTTATTAATTTGATTAGTTGCTTCCCTCATTAGGAGGGTGGTGCCCCAAACTTTATTACGAGTGCAAATATTCTAGGTATTTCTCCTACAGCAATGACTGTAATTGTCACTCAACCATTTCCATGGCAACGAGTAAAACAGTCTGAGGGCTGTCTATCAGCAGTTTGTGGTCTCTGCCCTCACAGACTTTACGTGATGACAGTGAAGGCTAAGTCAACAAGTCCAGAGGGTGGACATTTGGATTCAGCCTTTATTTTCCCTATAAATGCTTCCCTTGGGATCTATTTTCAGAAAATATAATAACTTTTCTTATGCTAATGACACCCAGCTGTACCTCCTGCTAAAACCTTGTAATCCATGTAGTGTTGACTCCCTTTTAAATAGCATTGAGAATGTAAGATCCTGGATGACAAAAAGCTTCCTCCAACTTAACCAGAATAAAACAGAGCTCTTAATCTTAAGCCCAGCAGTCAAATCTGCCACAATCAAGTCCCTTGGGCCTGTCACATAATAAAAATCTTTGTGTGTTCTTTGATTCTGGTTTAAAATTTGATAAACAAATAAACTCAGTTGTCAGTACTGGCTTTTACCTTCTTACATGACTTGCAGAATTTAAACCATTCCCGCCTATTAACGATTTAGAGACTAAAGTCCCTGGTTTCATTTCCTCTGGCCTTGATTATTGTCATCTACATAGGTAAGAAATCAGTCAGCCCTGTCTCAAGCTTGTTCAAAATGCAGCAACAAGTCTCCTCACTGGTACCAGGAAGATACCATATCTCTCCTGTACTGGCCTCTCTTCACTCATTTAAATTCTTTGATTTGTTTTTAAAGCACTGTATCCCCTATTCCACCTCCTGTCCCCTCAGATCTGATAACCAATCATTGCTTTCCATTCCACTCACCCAGTTTAAAAACAAAAGTGACTGAGCATTTTCAGTTGTTGGTCCTAAATTGTGGAATAGTCTCCCACTATCAGATCTTCCCCCTCTATTGATACCTTTAAACCCATCTTAATAGCCGTCTCTTAAAATTATGACAACACATTTGCCCATATTCATTTTTTCTGTACTTTATTTTGTTGTTAGTCCAAAGTTATTTTTGTGTTATGACTTTATAAAGATACTATATGCTTTTATTTATTTACATATATTCTCCCATTTCTGATTGTCTATTTGATCATTCTTGTGGTATTATTTGATTGTGCCTTGGTTTTATTTAATCTCTTTGTAAAGCACTTTGATCATTGTTTATTTTTAAATGTGCTCTATAAATTAATCTGACTTGACATTTATGTTAATTTCAGAACAGAGCGTTGGCTCGTCAACCTCACTGCTCAACAATGCTGCAACACCCAAAACCTCAAATATGTTGTTTCTTCGATTACTGAAAATGAAGTGAGACATAAAGCTTACTTGTCACAAAATTCTTCCAACAGATTCGGTCATGAGGACCAGGTTGCCAGGTTTCCCCAATTCCTGGCACTGTAAGGTCCCTGTCTTTTCAACTTCCACAAGCCGCTGGTTTGTCTGTCCTGGATGTCCTCCCTTTAAGACGTCGAGTCCAGAGCTGTGTTTGAGCTGGTTTGCTTGTCGCAGATGGAAATCTGAAAAACCTGAACTCTTCTCCACTCTTGTTACCCAGCACCCCCATGCAGGGTAGCCTGGACTTGATACCGATATTTTAGATCTCTATAGCTAACGCTTGTGTGACGTGGGTCGACTGAATATATTGATCTATCTGGATCAGCAATGTAGACTATGTATATTAATCAACATATGTTAAAAAAACCCTACATCTGCACTGCTGGAGGTTTAGCAGCTTTATTCAGGAGGAACCAGAAAACTAACAACACAATAACACAAGAAATATCTTCAAAGGTATTCATAAATGCCTATGTATTGTTGTGATTTAATTCTTCACTGATATTTTTAAATAGTGGTGTGCTATAGTACAACCAGCAGGTTCTCACTCCAGAGAGCCAGAACCAGACTGAGTTTGGCCTCCTGTGTGGGCAGCTGGAGCTGGTCCACAGCCAGCTGTTCTGCCTGTTGGAGCTGCCGCAGGGCCTGGAGATGGGACAGGGGGAACTGCAGCCCCTGCAGAGACAAACACCCGGGGACATTCTTCACCAAACATATTAACACATACATCACATACACTGAACAAATATTAAAACAGCACTTTTGTTATTACTCCCATTTTTCACAGGTTTATGTTAAAGAATTAAGACTTTATTTATGCACCCAATAGATATATTTCTGTCAAATTTTGGTCACAAATTTGTTAAAATTCGTTTAAGTGAGTACTTCTCCTTTTCCAAGATAATGGACCTGCAAATGGGTCTGCATTTAAAAAACGGCAATACTCTTTTTTTTTTAAAAAAAAACCAGAGGAACCGATACCAGCGTAAGAATCGGTGTTATGACTCTTCCGGAACTGATGTAGTCCAGGGGCCAAGGCAGGTTTTGGTATCCCTTAAAGGGATGACTTCCTCTATGTCTCTAGTTCACATTTTGGTATGATAGACCTGCGTATCTAGTAGCTTAATAAATTTTTTTGGATGATCTTTGGGTCCTCCCCAAAATTGAAAATAGTCAAAATTGAGGCTTCTCCAAAAGTGTCTGCCTTATCACATGAATCTCGGGAAATAATTATCAGAATGTCACCAAATTTGGACTGAATGTTCACAGACAGTTGCTGCACACAATGCAGTGCATTAGTACCTTGCTCCTTTTAAAAAATATATACACCTAAACACACATGAATTATAGGCGGACATGGAATAAGGAATAAAAAATCCAAAAGGCATGTATATATGTGTTTGCCATTATTAATGTAAATAAGCCAATCACCCAAAAACTGCATTTATATGTGCCAAAGAATGTCATCTTATCATAAAAGTAGGTTATTAGATTATTCACCTCACCATCTGATGTTACCAGCCCCTGACAGGTAGCTAGTGCAGCCAGAACTTCAAACAGACAAATAGAATGGGGCCCTATTAGTCCAGGGGCTAAAGGGATCGTTTTCACAACTTGGTAGGCCCCTATCACCCACGGGGACCAAACAATTTTGGCATTTTTATCTCTCTACAGGTCTCTAGTTTATATTTAGGTATGATAGCCCTGCCTATCTAGTAGCTTAATTACAGTTATCACTCTGTAAACAAACTTACACCCATATAGGCAAAACACTACAAATAGGGTGAAAAATTAACTAGCAGATATCCCCATGAAACACGCCCAGTTGATCACTCATATTAAGACAAGTATTTTTTGTATTACAAATTTTCTGAAATATTTTATTTAAATATGCACCAGTTTTGTTAATGAAGACAATCACAAGGAGGGGAAATTGATTATGCAGTTACTGTGCTAACACTCAGTGTTACTGTAGCCTACAGTAGGCCTACTAGCACTCAGAGCTGCCCAGTTGCTATTTGACCCATAACTAGGAGGCAAAGGGAGTGCTACCGCCTGCCTAAGGCGGACTCCCAGGCTAGCAGAGGGAAAGAGATGCCTTATTTCTCCATTGTACGCCGTCCTAAAATAGGGGGGCCCACCTGCTGAGGCAGCAGTAGCTCAGTCCATAGGGACTTAGGTTGGGAACCGGAGGGTCGCCTGTTCAAGTCTCCGTCAGGACCAAAATATGGAGCGTGGACTGGTAGCTGGAGAGGTGCCAGTTCACCTCCTGGGCACTGTCGAGGTGCCCTTGAGCAAGGCACTGAACCCCCCAACCGCTCGGAGCACCTGTCATGGGCAGCCCCACTCTGAAATCTTTCCACTTAGTGCATGTATAGGTCCTGTTTGTGCATGTGTGTGTTAGGACCTGTGTGTAATTGACAACAGAGTGAAAAATTGAATTTCCCCTCTGGGATTAATAAAGTATATACAATTTAAAAAAATCCTTGATCAGTACTTCCTAAGAAGTCAGTCAAGTCAGTCGGATGAAGTCCAGCGACAGGTAGAAGGATATCAGCAGCACTGCCACTGAGGAGGAGGAGGGGGTGGTAAGAGAGGATGCAGGTGACACTGAGGTCTGTATGCCAGTCAGAGAGAGAACCATGGAGCAAAAGGTTAGAGTTAGATGGCCTAGGGCAAATGACAGTAAAGAATGAGAGATAGTTATTAGAGATTTCTCAGTAATCTTAAACAGGCTTCGTGGAAATGCAATCTAAAGGTTAGAAAAGATGGGAGATATAATTTACTCATATGGTGCAGAGAGGCTTGGGGCGCATGAGAGAAAGAGGGGTGAGAGGGTACAGTCAGGTAAGTCTAGAAGATAAATAGAGAAGTTAGTTAAGGAAAGGAGACAGTTAAGGAATAGTGGAATAGTGGAAAAAGGCTACAGAAGACGAAAGGGAGGGAATTAAGGTGTTGCAAGAGGAGCTGAGAAGCAGGCTAGCAGTTCTTAGAAGGGCAGAGCATCTCAGGAAAAAGAGGATGAAGAAGGAACATGTAAGGACAGGTGTTTTCAGGGACCCTTTTAAGTTTGTTAAAAGATACTTCAGCCAGGATAAGGGAGAGGAGCTTAAAGCAGAAAGGCTAGAGGTTGAAGAATATTTCAGAAATATATATTCAGATTTAGAGAAGAATAGGATAGTAGGTTTTCCACCGGATATCCCTCCATTAGGAGAAATAGAGCATGAGATGGATGTCAGNCATTAGCATTTACTATGGCAATGGAAGTAATCATCAGGGCTTCTAAGTGGGTGGTAGGTGGGGAGAGACGGCAGAATGGGTTGCATCTTCCACCAGTTAGGGCTTACATGGATGACATGACACTGGTGACCACAACAATGCCATGTACAAAGAGGCTACTGGAGAAGGTAAATAAGAACCTCAAGTGGGCCAGCATGAAGATCAAGCCTAGTAAGTCTAGAAGCATCTCGATACGTAGAGGGAAGTTAAGTGACAGGAAGTTTGTCATAGATGATGAGGAAATCCCAACAATTAGGGAAAAGTCAGTAAAGAGCTTAGGCAGTTGGCACAATGTGGAGTTGAATGATGAAGAACAGATGGTGAAATTTAGAAAAGATGTGGCTGCAGGATTGGATAGAATAAATAAATCAGAACTTCCAGGAAAGTTCACGTTGTGGTATTTGCAATTTGGGCTATATCCTAGGTTAATGTGGCCATTGTCAATTTATGAAATTCCAATATCCATTGTGGAGAGAACTGAAAGGTTGGTTAGCTCCTATATTAGGAAGTGGTTGGGCGGTCCTAGGTGCCTAAGTAGTGTTACATTGTATGGAAAAGGGACACTTCAGCTGCCAGTATCTAGTTTAACAGAGGAATTTAAATGTACCAAGGTCAGGACGAGCTCTTGTTATCTGGGAGTAAGGACGTGGTAGTTAGGAGTGTGGTTCCAAATCCAACCAAGGGGAGGAAGTGGAACCCAAGATCAGCAGTTCAGGAGGCAGAGGCAGCTCTTAGGCATGCAGAGATTGTAGGTAATGTTCAGTTTGGCCAGGGAGGCCTGGGGCTTGGCTCAGGCAAACCGATATGGAATAAAGCAGGTCTCAAAGATAAAAGAAAGCTGGTTGTGGAACAGATACATAGACAGGAGGAGATATTAAGGGGTGCAAAGGTAGTGGCCCAGGCTAAACAGGGAGAGTAGTTGAATTGGGAAAGTGTAGAGAAGAGGAAGCTTAGTTGGAGGGACCTGTGAAGTATGGAGGAGAATCATATTAGATTCCTGGTAGGGGCTACATACGATGTGTTACCAACCCCCCAGAACCTAAAACTGGGGGTAAATGGGGACCCATCATGCCCATTGTGTTCAGGTACCGCAAGCTTAAAGCATAATTTGTTAGCTTGTCATGAGTACGATAAACATAGTGACATAACCAGGTGTTGAAAAGTTTAGCTGCAGGCATCAAAGGGAAACGAAGTAGAAAAATTCAGAGGGTTTTAAGAATAGGAGTTTAGCAATTCAGTTTGTCCGTGAGGGAGAGAAATACAGAAGGGATAAGTTAGTAAGGAGGCAAGGGTGTGACCGCCTAGAAGGTGCTTGTGATTGGAAAATGCAAGTAGATTTAGGGGGAAAGCTTGTTGTTCCCCAGAAAATAGTTTGTACCAAGCAGAGGCCTGACATAGTGTTGTGGTCAGTGAGTCAACAGATAGTTTATTTCATTGAGCTGACAGTTCCTTGGGAAGACTCAGTGGAAGAAGCCTATGAAAGAAAAAAGCTTAGGTATGCAGACTTAGGAGCAGAAGCTGAGCAGCGAGGATAGAAAACTAGGATTTGTCCAGTGGAAGTGGGGTGTAGGGGATTCATAGCAAGATCAGCTGTCTTGCTCCTGGGGGAACTCGGAGTGCGGGGACAGAGTTTGAGGAGGACAGTGAAGGAAATGTCAGATGAAGCAGCCAGAGCTAGTTAGTGGATTTGGATGAGGAGGGATAATGTCAGTTGGGGGCCAGCAGGGGGAACTACTAAGCAGGGTACATGACTCCTTGAGATCAGGTGGAGAGATCCACCAATCAGTCCTCTCAGGAGAAAATTCAGGAAGAGGAAGGTTATTTAAGCGTGGGAGTGGCCTATTTGAAATCCTTTTGTTTGAGACCATGCTGCAAGGTGAGTGTGTTTGCTGATCCTGTGAGTTTATCTTCTCTATCTCCTTTAACTTTAGCTTATATTGGAGTTATGCTATGCAATGTGTGAAATAGAGTATGGTGAATGTGCTAGGAACGGCAGCACTGTCTCTACCTGGAGCTCGCATGTACGGAGCCTGGGTTTGGTTGAAGGTGGCAGTGCTGTTTGGGCTGAGAAAGCCATGTGTAAGTAAGGTAAAGGAGGTTGTTGGGTTGGTGTGGGGAGCAGTGAGACCTGGCATTAGGGGAGTGTCTCTGGGACGCCAGAGATCACCGTCTAGCCTCCTGGAGGTGTCGTGGGACCAACTAGACGTAACACTGGTGAAAGGAGGTTCCCACCTGATGACCCCAAAGACATGTTAGTTATCACTGCTCACTGGTCTGTACTGTTAAGCCCAAACAGCTTCCTATACAGTTAGCTCTTTCAGTGGCCGTGGAAAGTCAGCCATATTTAAAAAACTGAAGACTAACAAGACCTGCCAAGACACATTCAGAGAGTTGGG